AGACACAGACATACACACAGACTCACACACACAGACAAACACACACACACACACACAGAGACACAGACAAACACAGACATACACAGACATACACACAGACACACACACAGAGACACACACAGACAGACGCGCACACACACACACACACACAGAAACCACGAGTTTCACATCAACTGACAGAATATTAACAGCAATATCTGGAAACTCAAAACACATTCTGCATTATTTGTCATGAGAGGTGGATTTCTACAATGGATCAATCAGAGACTCTTTCATAAAGGTGAGCTTCAAAACTAGTGATGCAGTGACATTTTGGTAACCAAAGGTTTACAGCAACAAAAAAAAATCAGCAAAAATATAAATAAAATAAAGAGGCATGAAATCAAAAGAAACGTTCAATTGGCGCTTCACCAATGACACATTTTGATGCATTATCAGTGTCTATTTCTTGCACACAATGTGGATAAATTACAATAGGTGAACAAACTGAGTCGCATCTTACTGATATTGATTCTTAAATCTCAAGATCAACCTTTCACTCTATTTTCAATTAAACAAAACGTCACTAAACATTATTTATAGCTCCTGCCATCTAATAACTGCAATAAGCTTTGTGCTTTATTACTTTGTAAGTCTAAGATTTCAAATCCTGTCAGTTTGATCACTAAATTCAATCATTTTGTGTCTCTTTAATGTGTGCTGACAGATCCCCGATCATCTCTGCCTCTTTATTACTAGTTGCAGCAGCAAATAAACATGAATGAACATCAGAAGCCATCAATCAGTGTTTCAAAAGCAGAACGACATCAATAAATCAGCTTTTGATCAATAATGTCGCATTTACTATAGAAAAGACATTCAATGACCATAAACTTGACAGGGAAAAAAAATCACTATAGACAGGAGCATTTCGATAAATATATGCACTATATTACATATTTTTAAATAACCTGTGATAGTAGTCTTTAGTTTAATTGTTTGCATTTCAACAACTAAATGGAGTAGATCCATCATTATATCATTTAAAAATATATATAAACTACATTTTGTGCAATTTAAATGTTTGTATACATCTGAGTGTTGATAATTAAATGCATTTGATTAATTAATTGATTATAAAATAAAATTTATTTTCAATTTTCAGAATAAAAGAAAACTATTTTGATTTTGGTGTACAACATTAAAGGGTCAGTTCACCCAAAAATGAAAATTAGCCCATGTTTTACTCACCCTCGAGGCATCTTAGGTGTATATGACTTTCTTCTTTCAGACGAATCCAATCGGAGTTATATAAAAAAATGGTTCTTGCTCTTCCAAAGCTTTATAATGGCAGTGGGTGGGTGTTTATTTATTTTTGAACAGTCCAAAGGTAGTAGAATAACTATGGAACGTCGGAACGACAGATGGTGGAAGTGAGAGAAAAGTGTTTATAACATTTTAAATATGGATATTTTTCTTACAAAAACGCATCGATTCGCCACAGGAGGCATTTATTCACCCCCCGGAGCCGTGAGAGACACTTTTTATTATAAATTGATGCGCTTTATTTGACTACACTGAAAAAATGTGAAATGTGAAATGTTTGTATCTTGTGTTCTAGTATAAATATCTAAACATTCTTGATCAAGATGCATTTACTGTACGAGTGAAATGAGTTAAGATATTATATCTTGTTTTCTATAAATAAATAAATAAATAAATAAAAGGTAGTGCTGGGCAGTATACCGGTTCATACCGAATACCGGTGTTTATTTTTGTTATGATAAGAATTTTGAAAATACTGCAATACCGGTGTATGTCGCTTAAACAACGTTGGGAACGCGGCACTGTTTGAAAGGGGTCCATTTTCACTGCTGCACTGTGGTGAGGGAACAGCTGTATGTGTTACTAAGCGTGAAAGTTCAGAAACTGAAGCTGTAGAACTAATAGAACGTGATGACACAGAAGAACTCATCCACAATATCCACACTGACCTCCACAAATATCCAGCGCCCCTGACATCAGCTCCCGCGTCTCACACACACGAGCGCGACTTTAGCACTAGATTTAGCAACTTTCAGACCCTTTTAGCGGCTTTCTTCCAGAGAATATTCATACTGACAAACCTAGCGACTTCTCTGGATAAAGCTTAGCTATGGTTCAGTTGGAGGATTTCTCCAGTGCTGTCCCGCGAGCGCGAGGTCTGGCTTTCCCGGAGAAGTGTCGCCTCTCTCGGCGTCTGTTCTGTGCAGTGAGCGGCAGAGAAGCACCGCAGCCGACTCCTCAATAAATGAGTACAAAACAGCGTTTCCTAGCACCTGTCGCTTACTGATTGTTTGGAATTATAAATATGAGCGTAGTTCGTCTGTTAATATCACATGCACTTTTTTGTTCGTAGTTTTTTTAGTTTGTTACTCAGACGCAGGCAGTGCGCTGCACGAGACAAAAGAGTAATCTAGCCAAAACCACCGCATAGCCGCTCTTTAGTGTAGATGCATGCTGATTTTATCAGACGATGCCGTGATTATAAATGAGAGAGACTCCTGGTGAACATGTATTAAAAGGGGTCGTGTTTAGTCACTATTGAGTGCGGTATTTTTGGACAATATTCACTCATCATGACAGTAAAATAGAGCATTCGAAGTCAATACACTGCAGTATTTCCTCTCAATCAGTAGAAAATATGGTTAACACCTGGTCATGCATGAAAAAAAAATACCGTCTTGTACCGTGAAACCGGTATAATTTTGAAAAATACCGTGATATACATTTTTGGTCATACCGCCCAGCACTAATATTAGGGGTGTAACGGTTCACAAAATTCATGGTTTGGTTCGATACGACACAGTCCATCGCAATGTTGGAAATATTTCAGTTTTAAACCATGAAGGCGAGCCAGTGGATATCACACAAGCACGCGTTTGCGCAAGAGTTATGCCGGTGAACGTCTTAATCTCAGTCAATTCACTATATGCAGAAAGTGAAACTAAAAACAGAATGACGGAGCTTTCGGCATCTGACGGCGCATATTCTCTCAGAGACGACGAGACGAATCTACTTCACCATATGCTGATAACGATATAGCTGTCTAAAACATGGGCTAATTTTCATTTTTTGGGTGAACTAACCCTTTAACATTGGTGCATCACTAGTCAATAGTATCCCTCAATAACTAGTATTCAAGACAGAGTCTATAAAACCACAAAATATGAAACTCACAGCGAAAGGATCGGCCTGCTCCCAGGAGATAGGCAAACCCCAGGACGACAGTCTCATTTTGTCCGGCAGGGACTCGGGCACCACCAGCAGAACGAACAGAATATCAGCCACAGCGATGATGGTGGCCAGAAGAACCACCAGACTGTCTCCGTAGTGCAGGGACAGGAACGCTCCTATAGCCGGACTCGTCACTAAACTCGCCGCAAACGTCGCAGAAACCTGAAACCCAAGACCAACAGGCAATGTGTCCAATGATGCATTATCAGCGTCTATTTCTTGCACACAATGTGGATAAATTACACACTGCAAAAAAAGATTCTCTTGCTTAGTGTTAGTGTCTTGTGTTCTAGTATAAATATCTAAACATTCTTGAATCAAGATGCATTTACTGTACGAGTGAAATGATTTAAAATATATTTTCTACAAAAAAAAAAAAATCTACATTTTGTTAGTTTTTGTTTAAAACAAGCAAAGATATCTGCTAATGGGGTAAGAAAAATAATCTTGTTTAGCCTTTGAATTAAGATTATTTTTCTTACCCCATTGGCAGATATTTTTGCTTGTTTTAAGCAAAAACTAACAGTTTTCTGCTAAACCGTGGGGGGTCACAGCAACCAAAGAGCAACAGAAAATTACAGATTTTCTATTTAAAAAACAACAAAAAAACTATTTTTGAGAAGCTGAATTTTACATTAAATGGAGTATTTGAACATATTTTTCCACTGCTTTGCAGATTGTAAGTTAAATGATTCATTTTGAATACCTAATTGTATCATTAAAACCAAAACATATTGACATTTGACAGCTTTCATTATATTGCTGATACAAAATGTGAAAAATGTGAAATTTTCATTCTTATTTTGTGAAAAAAAAGGGTAAATGATGGAAGTTTTTAGTGATTTTTTTTAACTCAGCATCATCAAATTGGGTAATATTAGGCCTTTTTGCATATAAAATGTTATATATTATAGCTGGAATCGTATGAGATCTCTGGATTTATAATATTAACATCTGATGAATGATATAATCATAATATATACAAAATACATTTTAATAAATGCAGCAATCTATATCTATCTATCTATCTATACACAAACACAAATAGAAAATGTAAGCTATCCATCACCAAATAAACAGTCATTTAGGTACAAAGTCACAAGGAAAATTAACTCTAAAAATGTGTCATATGAGGATGACAGGTCTTCTTACCAGTCCATATGCTGTGCTTCTTTCATGCTCTTCTGTAATATCAGCCACATACGCAAATATGACAGAGAACGTAACAGCGAAAAGTCCAGACAAGGACATCAGAGCAAAAAAACACCTGATGAAGAGAGACAGAAACACACAAACACATCACTTTAATGCTTGAGCTGTCCTAAATCAATCAAGGCCAAATATTTTACCAACAGAAACATTTATAGGTCCACAAAAACAAACAGTCTCATCATAAAATCAATGCAGTCCACTTTAAAGGAACAGTTCACACAAAAATGAAAATTTGCAGAAAATCGTAGTTTCCGGGCTAAAATACGAGTCTATAATCCATAATAACTCTTCCTCCAGTGAAAAAGTGTTCTGGTGTGAATCAGGAGAGAAATCTGCACAGATCAAGCAGCGTTTAAACAGCTCTAAACACATATGTGGCTGGATTTTGATGTGAGAGACAACAGCAGATGCACTTTTTCACTGGAGGAAGAGTTATTATGGATTATAGACTCTATGGTATTTGAGTTAAAAACGTCTTAATGCTGGATGTGTTTCAGTTTTTGTCTTCTCCAGATGTTAACTGATGGACTGGAGTGCTGTGGATTATTGTGATGTTTTTATCAGCTGTTTGGACTCTCATTCTGACGGCACCCATTCACTGCAGAGCATCCATTCCTGAGACACTGATGCAATGCTACATTTCTCCAAACCTGATGAAGAAACACACTCATCCTCATCTCGGATGATCCTGAGGGTGAACACATTTTCATTTTTGGCTGAACTGTTGCTTTAATGCATTACAGAGGGATTTGTCTCTCATGCAGAATGAGCTGCAGTGACTTTTAAACACGGCTGAAGAGCTTTAGTCACTTGAGAGTCATGTGATGCCACACACACACTCTCACACACACACTCTCTCACACTCTCACACACACACACTCTCACACACACTCACTCTCTCACACATACACTCACACACTCACACACTCACTCACACACTCACTCACACTCTCACACACTCTCTCACTCACACACTCACACACTCTCTCACACACTTTCACACTCACACACTTACACACTCACTCACACACTCTCTCACACAAACACTCTCACACTCACTCTCTCACTCACACACTCACACACTCACTCACACTCACTCACACACTCACTCACACTCTCACTCACA